ACGAAGTTTGCAGCCTTCGATGTTGCATTGGAATTGATACACTACATTGGTGCATTTTAGTTTGTCGGGTTTGTCTGGGCTGTTTCTCATAAGAAAGTTCGATATTTTCTTATTACAATAGTAAATGACAATGTCTATTTTGTGGTCGTTTTTGCCTTTAACATGTTGAGAGATAATTTCCCGTAAAGCTTTTCCGTCCTGTTTGTGGGCAGATGTCATTTGATTTTGATAACACAGTTTGACGGTCGGTTAGATGTCTTGCCTTGGTTTGCCTTCAAAGTGTCTTGTCATTTGTCGTTGTGTCTCGTTTTCAATGTCAGAATTTGAAAAACCGCTGTTCACCAAAATCTGTCTGATTCGTGTCAATTCTGAACGTAGTCCGGTCCAATCAGAGCAGTGCTTAAATGCTCGTCTAAGAAAGGACCTTATGACGCTAATTTTGTAGCGTCGAGGACACTCACTGTCAACATTTAAGCACCGTCCGTTGTTAGTCTGTTTTTGGTATACAGTCGTTTTGAATTACATTTCCAATTCCAATTCCAATTCCAAAGTCCATCGACAGCCACGTCAAGAAAGGGTATTACGTTTTGCACACTTAGCTCTGTTGTGAATTTTAAGCCGGACCGTTCTTCAAGGGTGTTTTTGAGATGTCCTAGTTGGTGAATGTCCCTAACTTCTACAAAGATATCGTCTACGTAGCGGCAGTAAATGTCCGGTTTTATGTCGTCATTTTGTAGCATGTTGGCTTCTACGTGTCCCATAAAGAAATTAGCGAATAGAGTTCCTAGAGATGAGCTCATCGCAACACCCTCAATTTGGCAATACATCCGGCCATCAGGCCCGCGGAAAGGAACTTTCAACGTGCAGGCTTTTAGTAATTGTTCAAGAAGGCGCCTATATATTTTGAGAGGAGGAATTTCAGGATGATTGTAGACGCGGTCAAGGATGATGGATATGGTTCTTTCAATGGGCACGTTTGTAAATGGATTTTCAACATGTAGAGAGGCTAGTAGGCCCTTAGGTTGACGAGATCGCACTATATCAATAAATTCATCCGTTGATGACAAGCTGTGAGATATGGGATGATATGGGGACAGAAGACCATTGAGACGTTTTGCAATTCTTTAGGTTGGTGATAGGTGGATGAATTCTGTAGGTTTACTTACCTCATATACACATATGTTATATATATATATATATATATATATATATATATATATATATATATGTCGGGGCGTTGGTTAACAAAATGAGTTGGGTAAGGCCTGTGCAGTGACAAATGGGTGCTTACCCCCAATATAGATATACCTACCGACGAAGATGCAGCCAGGCTGACAGATTAATGCTTTGTTTGCTAGCATGCTGTGCCACGGCGGCGGTGAGTTTGCGTCAGGAAGGCACGTACGCTGTGCCCAGTGTGCCTTACCCCTCAGCGCTGTGTTCCTTCATCATTGTCAGCCATGCATTTGCAAACCGCAGCGCAAGGCTGACCGTTTTGTCCAGAGCGTCAGGAGGACTGCTGGTGGCACCTGCTTCGCCGCCGGTCCGGTGATGATTGATGGTGCGCATTGCTCATGTTGAGGCATGCGCTGGTTACCAAATACCAAAACGAAACTTACCTTGGCATGCAAAGATAAGCTCAGTCCACACTTCACTCCGAAGTATTGACTGGGCGCTGTAGTGCTTGTAGCGCGCACGCTCAGACCGCAGCCGCCCTTAACCGCCAATGTGCCAATATGTCCATGGACCCTCAGGTGCAACTTCCCTTTGCCAGTGTCTTGTTATTTACGCTATATCTCTGCAAAGTTTTGACTATATGTGTGTGAACGGCACGCAAAAGCTGACGCGATGCGCGCATTGCGGCACAGTATTCATGGGCCATGCTCACGGCGCAGGATTGAAACCGCTCACTGCGCATGCGACAATATTTCTGTGGTTCTGGGTTGACTGGGATTGAAAAGCCAGTTTCTTAAGGTGTAGTTTTTCACTGTCTTAAAAAAGCTCAAAATTGAAAATACTTAGGCAGGCCCACTTCAATGCTAGCGTGAGGAAATTCGCGAGAATGACATGAGACCGAAGGTTTCGCTTTCATTTGCAATGTTAACAATTTATTTGCCTCCAAGGTAAGGCCGTTTCAAGGGCGTAAAACAATACCAATAACAGCAAACTGATTTCGTTAAGAACGCAACTTATGAGGATTTGATTTCAGATTGGTGCGAAGGCCAACTCGCTTAGCTTGGCGTACCTCTCTGCCCGCGTAATATAAACGTGACAGTCGCCCGACCTCCGCCGCCGACGTGGCCCAAATCTAATACAGAATGCCGCTACCCCAGTGGGGGCCCCGCGTGCCCTGCAATACAGAATGTCGCTACCCCAGTGGGAGCCCCGCGTGCCCTGCAATACAGAATGCCGCTACCCCAGTGGGGGCCCCGCGTGCTCTGCAATACAGAATGCCTCTACCCCAGTGGGGGCCCCGCGTGCCTTGCAATACAGAATGCCGCTACCCCAGTGGGGGCCCCGCGTGCCCTGTAAGTCTCATGTATTTCGAAACAGGCCTGAGGTCAGTCAGCAATTTTGAAAGACATGAGCCACCGCACAGCCACCGCCGCCACCCGGGCCGGCTTCGTGTGGTAGCGTTGAGTTTGTCGTGCGAGGGGAGTAAAGCAAAGTCGCAATGTATTGGTTCTAAAACGATTTCAAAAAGGTGTTACCTAGCCATCCGATCGAGCTGACAGTGTGAGCTAAAGTGGTTAGCACGCCCAGAGAGGAACCATGAGAGCAAGACAGATCGTCAATTTCTACATTTTATACATATGGGTGTTCAAGAAGGACATGCTCAAACGAGGCGTGTTTGGATAGCGCTACCTAGTTTTTCCGAAGCAGTTCTATCGTGGTGGAGCTTCAACCCTTGGTAGCTGGGACCGAGCGCGCTTGAATTGTGGCTGTAAAGTCATTGTCTGGATGTGTAAAAGGAGTTGCTTCTGAAGTTTGGTTGTGGTAGGTAGGAATGAGCGCTGAAATGAGCTGAGACAGTTGCGTGGTTGTGACCGGGATTTGGCATTCCGCAAGTTCATGCCTGTGCTGTGCTGCGTGGCGAGAAGGATATATGTAATGTAATTGAGGCAGTGTGATTGTGTGCCTCGGAGCTTGCAATACAGGTTTGGTTTGTGTATGCTGCGTCTTGTGTCAAACGTGTTCCACCCAAGGTCACGTCTGGATATGTCAGTTGGTGTTCTGAATTGTGCTTCTCTCGCTGAGCTGGCAGCCCTATTTCAAAGCCTCTGAAGTCTGAGGAGTCAGTCGCAGTGTCGCACACTACGTCGCAGTGATTAAAGAAGAGTGCACAATGAGTATTGTTTAAAACTGCGACCAAATAGCAGAAAAACCGTGAAATGCTCCAGTCCGTAGTTGTGTTAAAGAAGACTGACCGTTCCCCAGAAGTAAAGTTGTAAAGAGCCAATAGGGAAACTGTTTTAGGTGCAGCATTCGTAACATAACCATAATGGCTGCAAACCCTATGCTTAAATCAGCCTATACCTTCTTAAAAGGAACGAATTTACGGACGAATACTCATTTATTACGGGTCACAACACGTAACATATGTTTATAAGGCACAAGAACACACACCTCTTTACGCCCTATTTCTATAGTTCTAAGGGCGTCCTTGTCGTTACTGCCTTAAACCTTAAATAGCAACCAGCCTGTTTGTCTTGCTAACTGAGAACGCGAGAGGATGGCTTCTTGTGCGACTCTGAACGTAAACAGGAACATGTGGGCTTTAAGCGCGTTCGATTTTGTTAGAGCCGTTTAACTGCCAATGGTTCAAGTTTGTTTACATGACCAATAAACGATGGCTTAAGACATCGCAGCATCGGATAATGATTTGGCATATCCGATTTTCATTAAGCAGTCAGGGAATAGTTTGTTCACAGTCAGAGACACGGATGTGGAGACTATCACGTTACGGTGAGGGGGGGGGGGGGTGTCAAACATCCCCAAAACTTTTGGGAAAACTGAGCACCATAGGCTTACGAAGGAGCATGGAGGAAAACGGCGCAAAATGTCTCTGAGCGCCCACCTCAATCCTTGGGTGCATCCTCAAATGGTACAGGATTAAATGACGCTAAAAATTGGAACCAGACAATAATTTTCGTCACTGGCGATATATCCTGCTGTCTGTATAATGGTTTCCTCGGTGATTAAATTTGCAATTTTCCCATTGTATAATCGTTATACGATGTGATTAAGCACTAGCATTGCTTGCATGTGCCACGTGCATGTGCATTGCGCGTGCTACGCTGTACCAGGCCGTCACAGCGTGCAGTGATGCCATGACATCACAACTGTACCGACAGCGACTCAGTGACTCAGGACAGCGACTCAGTACCAGCATTACCCACAGTCACTCAGTACCAGCATTACCCACAGTCACTCAGTGCCACGGCGTGGTATCACGCTGACCCTACAACATTCGTCCCAGAATCTGGCTCCGTTTCTAATCACCTGGCTCGGCCAATGAGGACAGGCCCTGGATATCCAACAAACCCATAGGTGGGTCCCGATCGCGGCGCTGGTCGGAGACAACACACTGGTGCACAAAGCCGGCCCTTGGGTGACTTGGGCCTCAAGGCTTGCGGCTGTATCGTATCGAGCGTCCGATCTTACAGGAGGGGGCGATGCATACCCGAGGCACCGAAGCCGCCAGCGTCCTCTCGCCGTGCCAGCAGCAGCGCCTCGGCGGCGGGGCGACAGGTCACGTTCCACCCTGCCCCACCCTGCCGGTCCGACCTGCGAGGCTGCCTCATCGGTCCGGCCGGCTCGGCGAGGCACCACCCCACCCCCGCCGTCCCCTGCGATTCTGGATGTTTCGCGGACCCGACAGTGGCCGGCTGGAGCCGGCGCCGGCGCCGGCGTGTGAGCGTGCCCTTGTTGCACGCCGATGACGTCACCTGCGCAGCTCATTGGCGGCGCCGGCCGCCGCCTGCAGTCGGTGCCGCTTATTTAAATCGTCACTCGCGGTCGACGGGCGAGCAGGAGCGTGTTCAGCCCGGTCTGGCCGACATACACGTTCATCCCGACACCGCAGCGTCCACCATGGAGGGCTCCAAGAACATCCCCATCAAGAAGAGCGACTGCAGCGTGATCGACACCGAGTTCAGCAGCATCCGCGAGCACTTCGATGCCGAGATGCGCAAGATGGAGGACGAGATGAACAAGTTCCGGACGGAGCTAATCAACCGCGAGTCGCCGCGGATGCAGAGTTCGATCACGTCCAGGTACGTGCCGCGAACGGGCGGGCGCCGCCTCCGGCCGGGCACTTGGGTCGGTGACGCGCCGGCTGTACTGCTCGTATAACACCCAAACGGTAACCCCTAACCGGACATCGCGGTCCGTAATCATATCCGGGCCATGCTACTGACGGCGGCCCGCTGGCATGTCCATGTGGACGACATTTACCTGGGATTGTCACGTCACTTGTTCTGCGCGAGTCGTATATTGGACAGTCATGCAAAATAATGGTGGTGGTGCGCCTTTTGCCGCAACAGTTTGAGCGACGCCAGCTGTGAATGAACATATTTGACTGGCCTTTCCCCATTGTCCTCTCCGCGACATGCAACGCCTTCTGACAGCCCGACATGAAGCCTGTTCTTTCGTCCAGCGCTGATGCAATGACCGTGCGAACATGCAAAGAAATGTTGCGAAACATGACATTTGATGCCGTTTGAAGTCAAGGCGCAAAACAAACCACTTCCACAAGTTTTCATTCTAAGGGGCTGGTCAGTCAAAACAAATCTTTTAAAAATGTGTTTCTGCTCAACAGTTCATTCTGGGATCCTCCGGAGCCGTCCGTGCCTGCCAACGATGACAGTTGTCTGTGCGTCCAGCCATGCCCCCTGAACCAATTCCGACAACGGGGTCAAATTGATGAGGCAGGGTACGAAGCTGTCGCGGGCAAGGCCCAGTGACGAACTAAAAAAGGGTTGGTCACTGGCCACTCTAGTCTTATGGTTTACGGTGTAGGGGCAGTAGCTATTAGTCTGTACGGAAATATAGCGTCACAGGCGATACTTAAGTTTGATAGAAATGTGGGCCGTCTGAGATGGATGCGGATTCTTATCACCGTTCCGCGGATGTCAAATGTAGGTTGTGGCCTCATCTCATGTCAGAGGAGAGGCACGCGAGTTTGCCGCCGTCGTCAGAAACGCACTCTTTGCTCGGCCATTAATCCACCTTTACTCCCTCCATCGTGTAACATTGGCTTTCTGGCCGAATCTCGGCGCGGTCTGCGTCGAACTGGGGGCGTGACCGTCGGCGTGACGGTCGGCTCACGTGGCTGAGGTGTCCTTGCCTGGGACGCCGCCTCAGCCACGCCCACACACATGCATGAGACCCCTCGGGGCGGCCCAGTGTGCCGTCATGAGACCCCTCGGGGCGGCCCAGTGTGCCGTCATGAGACCCCTCGGGGCGGCCCAGTGTGCCGTCATGAGACCCCTCGGGGCGGCCCAGTGTGCCGTCATGAGACCCCTCGGGGCGGCCCAGTGTGCCGTCATGAGCCCCCTCGGGGCGGCCCAGTGTGCCGTCATGAGACCCCTCGGGGCGGCCCAGTGTGCCGTCATGAGCCCCCTCGGGGCGGCCCAGTGTGCCGTCATGAGACCCCTCGGGGCGGCCCAGTGTGCCAAGATGGTCCCTTACGGCAACCGACCCTAGCAGGCGGCTTAGAGGTACAATCCGGGTCGGCGCGTGACCTGGCGCTCCAGGTCCCCCGCTCACCTGGTGGTCGCCGCGCAGGCGCCGGTATCCGCGGCTGCGCGCCATGCTGCCGCCGCGCGCCGCGCTGCGGTTCCTCGCTCGACACCTGGACCGACTGGTTGTGCTGCGGCGGAGCTGGCCGGGCACCGGCCCCGGCCCGTACCCCGATCCCGATGGCCGACCTGGTCACCGCCGACTGGCCCGCCGTCGGCGCGCTCTCGCTGCCAGCGATGCTAATGGACGGCGCTGCTGGACGTGCCGGCGACGGTGGCGGGTGGCGCCGCAGTTCGGACGGCGTGAGCCGCGCCGGCAAAGGTCACCAGGCACCCGGTCCAGTCCAGTGTGTCACGTGGTGGGGCAGGCACCCGCGTGACCAAAATGGGCGAGAGTCGCGCGCGGCACTGCAATTCGTGGCGGCGGCGAGGTCCGGTCCTGCACGCGCCACGTCAGAGCTGTCGGATATTGCTCGCGCCACTCGAACAGTTGCGTGGGTTGGAGAAATGTGTCACTGCGTCGCCTGCGCACTCCCAAAACAGGCAACCACGTGGTGCACCTCGTCACCGCTGGTCCAGCGAGGCGCGCCGCCGAATGAGCCCACGTGCACCGCGAAACGGCAGGTTCGTGCGCCGCCGTATATGGCGCCGATCGTCACACGGCAGAGGGCGGCGCGCTGCCTACCTGTCGCGCGCGACTGGTCCGCACCGGAGCCGCACTGTCACCCGCACTGTCACTGGTCCGCACCGGAGCCGCACTGGCACTGGTCCGCACCGGAGCCGCACTGGCACTGGTCCGCACCGGAGCCGCACTGGCACTGGTCCGCACCGGAGCCGCACTGGCACTGGTCCACACCGGAGCCGCACTGGCACTGGTCCGCGCCGGAGCCGCACTGTCACTGGTCCACACCGGAGCCGCACTGGCACTGGTCCGCACCGGAGCCGCACCGGCACTGGTCCGCACCGGAGCCGCACTGGCACTGGCACCGCAGGAATCCTCGGGGTTCCGGTGTGCAGCAGCCTCGTCCTGCCAGACCGGTCCCCGTTCGCGTCGGTCTGCTCGTCGGGCCGGCTGCCGCCGCTGCCAGCGCGGGATGCCGGCCGCCACGGGCGAGATGACAGCCTGCTGCCGTGACCCCTGGCGGCGCGTGTAGCCCTCCGCCAATGGTTTTCCGCCCCGGCCGAGCCGTCCCGGTATCCGTCCGACAAAAAAATGCGGCGTCCCACCGCCCAAGGTCGAGGCCGAGGAACTGTACAGGTGTTTCCAGGCGCCGCCGGGCTGGTGCGCGTGACAGAAGCTCTCCACTGACTCCCGAAAAACGAACCTGGCCTCACAAAGCGAAGTGACGGGTCCTGGGACCGCTGGGACTATTGGGCCAAAAAGCCTAACGGCCGGTTTGTGGTGCTGCGTGCACCTGAATATAACGTTTGAATGCTTTGTAATGTGCCTTAGGTTTCCGTGCGCTGACTAGACGGAGCTTGTTGCAATGATGCCGATGACTATGATTTGGCTTCAGGGTAACATGATGCTCAAGTACAGCGTCGCATATGCTGTGCAATGCAAAAGTGATGTTCCCAACCAAAATCCGTGCAAATGCCTTACAAATGCGCCCTTTTCAATTAGTCAGTCAGGTCGCCCCTTTAGGCTTAAACAGGCCAAAAACGTCTCATCTCCGTGCTGTTGAGAGGCGTCATCGCGTTGCGTGGCTGGTGGCACTGCGTTCCGCGTCGGTGTCCCGTCTGCGGACGCTGCGTCAGCGCGTCCGGCTGGTGGCCAGCACTGGTGTGGGGAGGCACCCCCGGGTCACTCCAGTCCTACGCCTGACCCGAACCGGGGTCCAGCCTGGAAAACGCCGCACAGAATCTCTGTCCTGTCTCTGTCTCTCTCATCTCACCTGCAGCGAAGCTTGCTTAATTTTGCAATGGAACGTGATATTAGGAACCCGTTCAGATCCAAAAATGTTATTTGATTGGACGGAATCAGTCATTTTGCCGTAGTCATAAGCAAATGCACGTACCAACTCAGTCCGGCGCGTTATTGAAAGTCCGAGTGCGGTACGGTAGTGCTGGTCGGGAGGGTCTCTGGTTCTCTTTCTACACACTAGCTAAATCCCACGAGTTTCATAATTGACGGATGGATGCGCATGTGGATTCTAGAGAGGTGTACCCCAACAAGGAACACTCACACAAATACGAATTAGAAACATTGGGCAATCGAAGATAAGCTATATTGTAGGTTGCATAGTTGAAATAGAGCATGGTTTCCTTTTGCTCCAATTTTCATTTCTTTATTGAGCAAGGTATTTCTCCTCTGATACATTCTGTTTATACAAAAACAGCCCCGTGGTGTTTACTGAGAAGTCTTGTGACTGTATATATCTAGTCTTCTAAGATGTGTGGCTAATATTCCGTACTTAACAAGTTTGCACCATACTACATGGAGTGTCGTGCGATAACTCTAATGTGGGGGTTGTGGTTTAATGTGCAAATTTTGATTAACATCTTCGCTGTGCTGATCGTGACCTTCGAACAGCTCGTCTGCGTGTGAGTATGGCGCGCTGTACAAATACAGGCAATTAATTATAAGTTGTCGATGTGTAATTAACGCTTGGCTCTTTTGTATTCTGATTACAGTTTTCCGTCTATGCTTACGCAACAGAACACCTTCAGGTGAGAAACATTTGCGCTTATGTGCGCTGTGTGCACTAGTTACGGCTGCATTTGCGTGTTGGTGGTTTTGTCTGTCTCGCCCCCTCCGCAGCTTAATGACGACCGTGTCAGGATGTCGTTCCTTTGACCTGTTATTCCTCTGGTCCACCGCGCCCTGGTCTCTTGTCACGTTGGTCTGCTATCCCTCTAGCCCGCGTCCCTCCATTCTGTTGCCTAATCCCCCTGTTACGCTGGTCTGCTGCCCCCTGGTCGAGTTCCCCAGTCTGGCGCAGCTGTGGCACGCTACGCTTATCTGTTTCGCTATAGCTGGCTGTCCCTCTGGGTTACTTCCTCCAGTCTCTTGTACATAAAATCTGCCGGTATCCCAGTCTTTTGTCACCCTGGCCCGAGGTCACCCTGGCCCGAGGTCACCCTGGTCCGAGGTCACCCTGGTCGTTTGTACCTTTCCGGTTGTAATCTTAAATGGTCTGAATGTTTTATAACACCGGTGTCTCCTGTGCACAAATGTGTCGCGCACCTGGAAAATACCCGTAATCTCATTCTTAGGACTGTATTGTAGAGATGAGCTTGCTTCAGTCGTCCTACCCTTGCCAACGTACACATGCAGCATTTGGAACCGATGACTTGCACCACCATACTCGTGTCTGCCGTATTTGGTGCTGGGTACGGTGGTGCCACCTGCGGCGGGTTGAGCCTGCATTCCTTTTACGGGCTGTCGTTTGCTGTATGACGTCATCCACTCGTCCGTCTGGTAGTGACGTCACAGTGGATCAGCCGGCAGTGGCTGCGAGCTGCGGTTCCGCTGGCCCAATAATTCACCATCCGTGCCTTACACGGAGGTCCTGCACACTGCATATTTTAATAGTATAGTTGACTATCATAAACGGGGGCATAAACATGCAAAAGCCCTTTGAAATGAAAAACACGTTGACTATTTGGCTTCATTGAGGTGCCTCTGGCGAGCCGGTTGATTGCATATGTTTTTCCATTTTTAAAGAGCATGTTGACACGTGAGCAGCTCTGAAAGCTCCAGGCAACAGACCCGTGCTTGAATTCGTTCAGTTGAAAATTTTCCAGCCCTTACTCAATACATGGGACTTATTTTGGCTCTGACGCCGAGCAGTTCAGCGCAAATTTGTGCCGACTCCGTGTCAAAGTGCCGGAGTACATTTTCTGCCGACTCCGTGCCAAAGCGCCGGAGTACCCTTTGTGCTGGCTCCGTGGCAAAGTGCCGGAGTACCTTTCGCTCTCACTTATCTCCCCAGTATCTCCCCACTTATGTCTAGCTGTCACTTTCACCACACGTATGCCCACGTCTGTCAAAGCATGCGTATGCACCGCGTCTCTCAGTGTGCACGTGGCACAGATGTCATCCATACGCCCGGTTTGTTTCCCTTGCTGAACCATACGCGCGGTGTGTGTCTGACGCGTGCTGTTGTGGCTGCTCAGCTCGACCACGTCTCAGCAGTCACATCAGACGTCCGGCGGCGCTCCCAGCACCGACCTGGCTATGCGCTCCGCCGCCGACCCCAAGAACTGGATCGAGAGCCTCAACTCGCCGCTCGTTCAGGACGTGAGTAGCGCGTGACCCCTACCCCTCCCCGCTAGCCCGGCGAGCCCAGATGCTGAAATGTGGGCGGGAGCTGCTGCACTGTAGACTGGTCCAGGTGCTGCACTGTGGACTGGTCCAGGTGCTGCACTGTCAGCTGGTCCATCTGCTGCACTGTAGACTGGTCCATCTGCTGCACTGTAGACCGGTCCAGCCGCTGCACTGTCAGCTGGTCCATCTGCTGCACTGTAGACAGGTTCATCTGCCGCACCGCGGGCGTTTCCACGTCACACCGTTTGGACGACTGAGGTGTTTTGTTGGTCTCAGCGAGGTGAAACACCTGAAAATGAAAGAGGTTTTTATTTCCAGCGCTCCTATCAAAGTCCGTTGCCCACCTTAGAGTCCGAACTTATCGCGGCTGAAAGTAAAGGTTAAGACTTCAAAGGATGGCTGTTTGAATGTTTTCCGGCAGCAATTGCAATGTCTAGATTCCCTGCAGGCGGCAAAATGGTATCTAGATTTGTGATGCTTCCTCCGTTCCTTTTAACTTCTGTACGTTTTAAATGGTGTCGGTTAACATCTGCAGTTGTTCTTCGATCTAGCATGATGTAACAAAACGCAGTATTTGTTTAGCGTGGGCTCTAGAAAAAGCAAACTTGGCGAGGCGTTCCTCGTCAGCTGCTCAGAGCTATTGTCTCGTGCCGTGATGTGCCAGCTGTGCCGATGCCGATCAGCTTGAGGCGGACCTGTGCCGGTGCCTGACTCTGGTCTTATTTGTCTGTGCTCAGGACGGAGACAAGAAGCACCTGAAGCTCCGTTTCGACGTTAGCCAGTACAAACCTGAGGAGATCGTGGTAAAGACCGTTGACAACAAGCTCCTGGTGAGTGACGCGGGGGCCGTCGCGCACAGGTGCGTGCGGTCCACGCGGCGCGGGCTTCTGCTCCCGCTGCCACGTGAAGAACATGTGAAGATGTGCAGACACTGGTCGCCGTAAAACACAGTGCATGCATGGTAGCATCGATGTAGGTTTCTGTCTATATTTCGGGAGGCATTTACTACACCTATCTTCCACTGCACCAGTTTTCGTTTGTCGCCCTTGAGGCTTCAATATTCAGCGACAACAGCAGAAGTTAACTGAACTGGCTAATGACACCGATCGTCAATAATGAGCGACTTATCAGTTCCGGCTGAATTTTCGTATCTATAGATGACATTCATTTTTGGCTTGCGTTTAGATGGGATGACGGACAAATTCTAGAAGTAATCTTAACAGAGGGTAGCCAAGAGCAAAACTACGTTGCCTGGTGTATTGAATTACTAAGCCCTTACGAATGTGAAGGGAACCGAAAAATGGAGGCTACAAGAACTAGCTGGGAACACTACGCTCAATGCCGAAACTACATGTGTACCGATTTTTTTTAGGGGCTCTATGACCTGGTTTCGCGCTGTTGCCGGATGACTTGAGCCATCACGCTTTAGCGCTGAGCTGACCCCAAAGCTGATTTGGGGTGGAGTCATTTCCATTCGATCAGACCGGTCAGACGGTCGTAAAGGAGGGAAATCAATGCTCTGGACAGTGACTGTCGTTGCTGGCACGCATTCAAACCGCTGTCATGACGACAGACTAAACCAAGCCAACGCTACTTCCCGTTACTCACGTTCAATAACGTTATGACGATTGGCGTCGATTACTTAGCAAGGAAGGCCCATCAATGTCTCCCCTTTTCACCGAATAGCAATGCCCCCAGGTTACATTATGAGCACAGTTGCGCTGTCTATCACAAGACCCTCTTCAAAGCCGTGGAATTCCTTCGCTTTATGACGCAGAACTCTTTTGGGTTTTAACTATGGAACCTGATCTGACTGGGCGTCTTTGTGGTCAGAGTGACCCCAGTTAATAATTTGATAGGATACTGGCCTTTTGATGGCATTATATTGACTCTCAGCAAGCCCAAACGCCCGTAAAGGTCTGATAAGATGTCCGATGTATTTTTCTTCTTCCCGTTGGCCCGGTGGAAGCCGGTCTTGTAGCGTGAATGCGCCCACTGTTCATATTAGGAAACGATGTCTGGAATACCATCAGGCCCCAGCTAGAAGGCGTTTGATCTACCATGATCGCAGCTGTTGCCTTTCCTCAAAACCTGAAATGTGTGCCCGCGGCCATCGGTAATCTTCTTTTCCGGTCGAAAATTGAGTCCAAACAAATTTCTGCTCGGGTGTTTTCGTTCTGCAACTGGCGGGCCGGTTCCGGCTCCATTCCCCAGGCTCAGCGGCATTGTGCGTCTGCGGTATGCCGTGGCCGCTGCCGCCGCCGTTCGGTCGTCTATCTGGTGGTCCTGGCATTTGTAAACATCAGCCGGTGGGGCCGCGCCTCTAGCCCAGTCCAGCGCGCTCGTCCCCATCCGTCTCACCGTCCAGCGGAGCTAGCTGCGCCTCGCCATTCGTGCCTGTTTGTCCAGAGCCTTCTCTGGCTGTGCTCTCCCCTGGCCGCCCATTCTCTCCCCGCTCCTGCACCGGTCCTGCCGAGGAGCTCCCAGCCGCCGGCGCCGCTGCCTGGGCCCGGCCCGCCCCGCCCGTGGGCGGTCGACCTCGGTCACCTGGGCTCCGCCCCTGTGACGTCATCGGCCGGTGAGATCAGCGCGGCGGCACGTGGGCGCGCGGCGCCACCAGGTGGCGCCGGCGCCGGCCATCTGGTGACCCAAAACGCCGACCCGAGGTGCCGGCCGTCCTCGCGTCGGCCGACGCTTGACGGGGAGGTGGGCGTGCCCTGCCGACGCCCGGCGCCGCCGACGCCGACGCCGACGCCGACGCAGCCGGTCTGGGGCTCGGTGTGACGGCCGCAGGCCTGCAGACATTCCGCGGTCCGAGCGGGGTGGGAGATGGCAGCACGCGATACCGCCGGATATAGCGGAGAGGCGGCGCGCCGGCCGGGCCCCCCGCCTCTGCAGACTGGATGGAGACGGGCAGGCCACCTGCAGACGCGCTGACTGGGCAGAGGCTTCCAGACCGTCTGCATATGTAAAAAAACTTGGTTGAAACATCAGATAGGTTCCAGAACACACCACCTGAAAGATTATTCCAGGCCACCTGTATGCGCTCAGCAGTACGTGGTAGCTCAGCTCAGTTTGCTAAAAATGGTGCCTGTTCCCAGCGTTCATGCTGCTGGCACATTGCTGGCACATTGCACCGTTTTCGCCGACGTCATTGAATGATCTCGCTAGATGCTGCCTTTCGTGTAAAAGGATCAAAGCAAGCTATTTATGTCAGTATAATTAAAGCCAAAAGTTGAGAGACGTGTACTGCTTCTCAAACCGCGAATACCAAGCTGTCGCATGCTTTACATGCATCAGTACCTTTTGGCGTTTGCGTGCTTGCGTGCTGCCCTCCTTCCCCCCCCCCCCCCCCGTCTATATTACACATTATATTACACTTTGTGTGGTCCTTGGAATCTGCTATGGTCTATAAGGACTCGATAGTCAAAACATCCGCAGTGCGCTGCATTTAGAGGCTGTAAATATTACCATATTACTATTCAACTATTTGCCTGATTACGCGCAAAGCGTCTTTTCATCTTGCACCACGGACAGAAGAAGTCGATGCATGTAGTCGGCACAGCTGACCAGCCTGTTGACAAGAGTGGGCGCTGCCTACAGGGAAGGAAGGGTGCGCTACATTGGGGCTGTGGCTGTGAGCAGCTGACCTGTGCTGGCTCGTGTAGCTCCATAGGTTGACCGGCAGTGTCGTAGGATGGGAATTGTGGTCGCGGGCAGCCGGCGCAGGTCGATCAGGTACGCTCGGGACCTTGAGATTAACGCCGCCTGACACGCGAATTCACGGACTTAAGCCAGGCGTAAGCCCGAGTGGGTGAGTGAGTGAGGAAGTGAGTGAGTGGGTGAGTGAGTAAGTGAGTGAGTGAGTGAGTGGGTGGGTGAATGGGTGAGTGAATGTTTGGCAGATATGTCTCAAAGCGATAAGCAGCATGGATTCCTTCCGATTGCTACGAGAGGCGTGCGTGAAGTCCAGTTGGATATGACGTGGTAGGCAACAGGCGTGCGCGAAGGCCAGCTGGACATGCCGTGCTAAGCAACAGGCGTGCGGAGCCGCCAGCGGAGAGTGGGCCCAGTCGCCGGAGCGCACAGATGGGGCGGGTGGCCCACGAGCCGCGGACGCCAGACGCGGAGGCTCGGCGCCACCGCCGGCGTCACTCCAGCGCCGAGTCATTTATAGCCGCGCTGCCGACCAGCCAGAGCCGGCTCCGTTGCAGCCAGGCCCTATATTTGTCGGCGGGGGCGGGGCGGGGAGTTCGGCCGACGCCGCACTGATCATCGGCCAGAAATGCGCCTTCTGGCTGCCAATGGCTGCTCTGATCCTGGGCGCTCTGGCAGGCTGGGGTGTCCGATCTAGTGGAACTGGCTTGGACATGCCCGCAAGCCAGCTTCGGCCGGACTGGCTATGGCAGGTCTGGATTCCAGGCTGGGTGGCATCCGCGCTGCCGGCGGTCGGGGTGCATCTAAGAGGCATATCAGGTCCGGCCCCACCTGACGACGGCCCTCTCCTTGTCGGCAGGTCCATGCCAAGCACGAGGAAAAGAGCGACTGTCGCAGCGTGTACCGCGAGTACAACCGCGAGTTCCTGCTGCCCCAGGGCTCCAACCCGGAGATGATCAAGTCGTCCCTCTCCAAGGATGGCGTACTCACCGTGGAGGCGCCGCTGCCGGCCCTTGCCGGTGACGAGGCGCGCATTCCCATCGCGCACAAGTAGACAGGGCGCCTGTCCGGCAGCGCCATCTGGGGAGCCGCGGGGCAGCCGCTCCCGATGCGGCGCGCCTCCCGACCCGTGTTGTTTCCCGCTGCCGCGAGCGTCAGCGCGCCTGCCGTCCCGGCCAGAGGCGCGCAGCTCCGGCCCGACTAGCGCCGTGTCTAGTCATCACTGCCGCTCGCCAGCTCTAACAGGCTAACACCGGACACGGCGTCAGGCTACGCACACCGAGTGCGCGGGCGGCGCCGGCCTCCGCCGCTGGTCGACGACGGCCGTGACGCCTCGCGTTCGCGGCTCACCGAGGCGCTACTGTAAGTTTGAGGTCACGGAGGCTAGCCTGTGGAACACCGCCACGTTTGATCTTTCAAACTTTGGTTCGCTTCCTTGAATATGGTGAGTGATGGACATCTTGTGGAAATGTTTAATATATTTATTAAATCGCGGATGTCATGGTGTGCATTACAGATCAGCACGGCCCCATTTGCGCCAGTGCAGTGCTGTACCAAGCGACAAGTGCCAAGAAGCAATCAGAGTACGAGCTCTTCCTTCTATTTCTCAGGGTCTATGTTTGAAGGCACTCAAATAGTTACGTTTTCTCTTCAGGTCGTTTGGCGTGTACAACCAGGCTTCCTCACATCCCTTTTTTCGATGAAATAATTATGGCATCTGAATTACTACACATAATAGCATGCGACACTGTCACATCTCAAATCCAGTCATGTATCTGAGAGTGCCTCCAACAGACGCATTCTCTCAGCGTGCTGTAGTTCGAGTTCAACAGACATTTACCATCGGGTACAGTGTAGGGCCTGTCAAACACGCCCCACGCCCGCGATGGTCACGTGACCGACGCCCTTCCGCGGGCGCTGCAGACCGACGAATGCACGGCCAAACATTCTTGTTTTCGAGTACAGCCCTCGGGTTGTCAAACATCTTCGCACCCCAGCGAAACGCACGAGCTGTTCGGAAAGCGTAGTGCGGGAGGATTGTAACTACTAGCAAGTATCCATCTATTAGCAAATGGGAGGGGTGGCGCAACAGACTATACCCGTGACACATCTCCCCAGCTTGATTGAGCGCGCCCCTTGCGGTAATGAACATTCCAGGTCATTAGTCCACCAAATCATTGATTTAAATCATTCATTTTTCATTACTTTCAGTTTCTGACATGACTGACTACACGAAAAATAAAATTCAAAAGCGTAACTTCACGTCCATAAAAGCGTACCCCATGCTATGTGCACATTGTATGGGTATATGCTATATCGTGTGATTGGAAAAGGTGATCACCGGATGCCAAATATCAGTCAAAAAAAATCTAGCACATTCGGTTGGCCTCGAAGCCCCCCGCCGAACGCCGAGCGCTTGTGTGAATCATGGACGAGCCAGGCGTGTCGTCTCGCGGACCAGACGCACCCTCTCGCCTTCACCACGGACGACTCCTCGTGATTGCTTCCAGGCTTCGTCTGGAACGGCGATCACGGCGGCGGGGACGGGGGCGAGCGCTGGGCCGGGCCGTGCGGGCCGCCACGGTCGCCGACCTATGCTGCGTCCACCGTTTTTGTGGCGGGATGCCGCGGAGGCCGGCCGCCCTCAGAGGGGAGGCGTGTTGTTGGCACCACCCACGCGCGCCGTCTGTAAACAATCGACAGGAAAACAGGCCAAAGCCGGGCCCCAGCAGAGCGCCGACCGGCCGCGGGCGAGAGGCACGGCACCGATGATAGGAGGGTGCCGCTGTCGGCACCTCAGCTCGCTCGTCACTTGACAAGCGATGACGGGCGTAACAAAAGGATAGCAAAATTTTCATTACTATGCCTTGCGCAGCCTGGGGTAATAACTAGTTTTCTTCATTTTGCGCTGGTTTCAGGATTGCTAGATAATTGTGCCAGGAAAGCTAGAAAACAGAACTTAAACGAGCCTTAACTTTGATACCGTGACCGATGCGCCACGCCCACAGTGTCATTAAAACACCCTTATACTGGCCAAATAAAAGAGAACCAGTTATCAGTGATGGGTGATCTTTCTTTTTTAAGCAGTTACGAGGGAATGTAATTAAGAAAATAAAGTGAACCAGCCGAACCCACCGCCGCCTGCTGTAACTCACGGAAGAACAGGCACCTGCCCAAGTCCAGCAACCAAGCTCCTTACAGGCCACTCGGAGCAGTTCCCGTTCAGGCAATGAAACTGGCATCTTGCCGTAGAACTTCGTGTCATTGACCTCCTCATGCACCCGCCTTGAACCTAAACACCTGTTTTAAGCAAAAGGCGACTGGTGTTCATTTGAGATCAGTGGCCTTGTTTGACCATTAGAAGGTCATGATAATCAACGACCTCCGAGAATGATCTGATTTTTTAATTTGAATGAGCCTTAATCTACGGCTCTTTATAACGGTGTCATCTACCACTTCCCACCATTACAAAATAGTTTCTGAATGTAAAAATCGAAATGCATTGTCTAGCACATAATGGGACGGGAAGCCTTGTTGTCACTGCAAGGGCGGGCACTGGTCCAGTTGACGCCATCTGTAGGATGACGTGACGAGCGTATTACATCCTTATCAAAACATGAGGTCTTTTCCGCGTCCGTACATCGTCAACTCGTCATTAGCCGCGCCGCGGTCTATTGCACACTGGCGAGCGCCGCGGCGCGTGCGCCGCCGCTGCCGGGTGGCAGGGCACGCCGTGCCCCTGCTGACACCGCCACTGCGCACACTGCACAGGTGGGGGCCGGTGTCGCGGGGCGGTGCCGGGCCGCGGTCCTCTCGACCGTGACGCCGAGCCGCCGGCGGTCGTGCGGCCCGCAGAGCCGTGCTGACGGACACGCCAACCGGGCCGCGCCCCGCCGCCCACCAGTCTGCTGACAGCCCACCGTAGCTTACAGTGGATCACGGTGGTTCACGGAGGAGCACGGGATCTGCTGCAACCCGACCGTGCCGGTGGGGTGAGGGAGACTGTAACTCACGGAAGCCCACGTGACTTGCTGCAACCGGCCAAAAGGTGAGCTGAAGGGGGCTCAGCTGATGCCGGCTCACCGTGACTCACGACAGCTCACGGAACCTGCTACAGTAGGTACAAAGGTGAGTGGAGATGGGCTCAGCTGATGACGGCTCACCGTGACTCACGACAGCTCACGGAACCTGCTACAGTAGGTACAAAGATGAGTGGAGAGGGGCTCAGCTGATGACGGCTCACCGTGACTCACGACAGCTCACGGAACCTGCTACAGTAGGTACAAAGGTGAGTGGAGAGGGGCTCAGCTGATGACGGCTCACCGTGACTCACGACAGCTCACGGAACCTGCTACAGCTTGGCGGTGCAGGTGACTTCAGGCGTGGTGATCTGCTGAAGGCTTATGGTTACTTTGAAGAGCTTACGAAGCCTACCAACGGCGGGTCCAGGGACATCCATTAGACGAAAACTCCGTGGTGGTAGTTTCCACTCCCACTTATTCATCAGGCTGGCATGCAATTAAGGGGGGTGTATCTAGTCAAATTGTGGATTTTACCTGTGCACGTGGGATGGTAGGGGATTTCGACTGAATAATTTTTGTGGCATTGGTTTCTACCAATTCGCCACCACTGACAAGATACTGCCACAGCCCCTAAATGTTCTTTGCTTTGTATGGAAGAACGAAGTTATCGGGTAGCCCCCAAGCAATATTTACTAATTAACACATCGAAATCATTGAGAAAGTATCGTTAGCTCTAGCCAATGACTTTTCGAGGATGTCGCTTCTCAGCGCTGATAGCAGCTTGCGAACGCAATGATGGTGGCGGCCATTTTGTTCTTTTGTTTTTTTGTTCTTTTGTGTTTGTTACAGTCAACTGAGGGATGCGGGTGTACGTGGTTGGCCGTATGGTATCGCTGGTCAGTTAATGCGCATCGCGATTAATTCAGGTTGACCTACTTTATACTGAGACGAGGCACGTGTTATTTTGGCAGCGACTATAGGCGGCTAAGATGCCTATACCCTGAAATTAATGATCCAATTCCGAATGCACGTGCACCGAATTCAGCATTCTAAATAACAAGGCACATGTGCTGAAATTGTTGCTGCGATGTCGCTGGCACACCAGGCGTGCCCAGAGTATCAAATTTTTCCGTCTCGAATGACGCAAGGGATCTTCAAGTGCGTACCGCTCTATACCGCTAGCGCCTCCCTATGCGCACGAGACGGCAGCAGCCAAGATAATGGCCATGTCACTAGCGCGCAGTTACTCGACACATATAAGCCAGTGCATTCGTCCATGACTGATTCATTTGTTAGCGTTGTGTTTATTTACGCACGTCCGTCGATGCAATCGATAAAAATAAATATATAAAAACTGTTGCAAGACCCAAACGCGCATTTAAGCACCAAACTTAGCCAGAGATCGTTGAAAATCTGCGCTTAGGCGTATATTTAGAAAATCGAAAACATTAGACACGCTCCCTTTTAATGTTTTTCACACTGTTGAGAGAAACAGGTGTACCGAATATTTACAATTAAAAGGCTCACTCCGGGGAGCACGGCAGCGGTAAAGGTGATGACTGAGGTATTTGCCACGAGGCTTGAAGCAGGTTTGCTTTACAGCCAAACGGTTACTTTTAAAATTAAGCATAAAGCCAAGAAACAAAATTTGTGTCATGCATAAGAAGCTGACATCTTCGAGCCTGAAAGAGTGTCGAATTAGTAAAGATCTGAAGTGTCAGCTTCCGATGGTAGTAGAGAACGATTTTGGAACGCCCATTAACAATTATAAGGATGCGGCAAAGAAGGCGATCGCCTGTGCACGAATTTCTACATTTTCAAAGATAGTTTCCATTACCGCTATGCGGTAGAGGGGCCTTGCACAGAAGAAAGATTGACCACGCCTCTGAGGGCAGGAGAAACTGAGATAAGAACACCACGATGCATTAAGCTGAGAGTAGACCCAAGGGAATTGGAGGTAAGGCTTGCGTTTAATACGCCACTCTTCGCTGAGCTCTGAGTGTTCACATGGGACCAACAGAACGTGTGCTGAGGGCCAAGAGGACTCTCAGGGCGACCAGCCGCTGCCATTGTAAACAGCGCGCAGGCGAGTGAGGTCAGACTGCAGTCAAAACAACAGCTGCGAGCTCCAACGACCGATCTATTGAGACGGCTGACGCCACGGACGGGGTTCGACGACGGAGATAATCGTCTGAGGCAGCGCGGCTGCCAGAGACGTGACTGAGCGGCACGCTACGACACCAGTGGCGCAGGCAGGGGGGGGGGGGGCATAAGCGGATGCCGCTCGCCCTCAGGCCCGAGAGGTCCGCAGGGCCCAAGGGACCGTCTTTTAAGAGCCCGACTGAGGGTCCGAAGGGCTGGTCGTAGGTTCTATTAAAGAGTCTCAGCCCGCAGAGAGAGGCCCTCAAATGCCAGTTAGAGGGCCCTTTGCGCTCATTGGGGCCCTTGGTTCGATGAGGGCCTCAATGTTATCAGACGCTCCTAGTATCGCACAGTCGACTCGGTGTCGGTCTGTGTCTGTAGGTCAATATTTCAAGAAGGGATACAGGGTCTTGCGTCGATCAAAGCCCACAATGCCTTGCAGGGAGTCCTGTTTTGGCGAGGGGTCCCGAGTCAGAAAGGGGAGCATGTGCTAAATAGGGACAAAGACGGAACCACAAGCACCAGAGGGCATTTTGCGCTGGTCCGAGCCGTCGGACAACGAAAGGCCACATGAGAAACCAATGATGAAAGCTCACCATGAGGCAGTGGAAGAATCCTGTGTCAGTCAGGGGTCCAGCACTGAACGAGGGTGAGCGTGAGCTCTACCCCAGTGGAAGAATTCTGTGTCAGTCAGGGGTCCAGCTCCGAACGGGGGTGAGCTCTACCCAATTTTAGCCAAAAGCCCGTTAAGCCGAACTGGGGCCTCTGCACCAATGATTGAACGCCTTGTTGCGACAAGGGACTCTTTTGCGCAAGCTATCGGAGAATCCTATGCATATCAGAGGATCAGAGAATCCCGGCGGCGATCCGAGACCGACTGCCCAGGCTAGAGGTCAGAGGGCCTCCCGCAGCAGGGACAGGACCGATGCATAACGTATTCCTCTAAGGGCCTCCGGATCGAGCATGAGACACCGCTCCCGTGTTGCCAGAATGACAGCTGGTAGGCGCCCCGCATGGGGAGCGGCATGGCCCTTCAATCCCTGACCGGGAGCGATAATGTGCCCCCTAGTGACCCACGGTGTCTTACTCAGAGAAGGGTAATGCTCATCAGCTTTCAATAGAGTGGATCGGAATGAGGCGAAAAACGAAAAAGTCTCACCCATGTTTACCTGTGGACATTTATCCTTTGCATAATGGACTGTGGAAACAAACAGCATGAAAAGAAGTATTTCGCATTGGTGTGGGGCTTCGAAATGGAATAGCCATTTTGGGAATCATCCGGTACAGTTCACAGCCCTACCTTCTTAATACCTAAAAACATGTAATTTCTGAGCTTCGGGATACACTCCGAGGCTGATAAGAAAGCAAGCGGTGTATTGCTGTTACAAGGCATTGGCAGCTCACTCCGTGCTGAAGAATCATTGAAATATATTTCATTGTTATATTTCGATGGAGATGCAATAGTACTGCCCAGTGATGCCGTTAGACGCAAATGGTCCTGAGGTTTCACCAGAGCATGTTTTTAAGATATGTCCCAAAATTTAGGATATTCCCTGTAAGAGAGGCACGCCGAGTAACCTGGCACTGATCTCACGTGTCAGATTACTCTGCAGTGGGGGGCGGCGCCACGGATTTTGAGTCGGGGGAAGAGTTTTAAAGCGGACCTACTGGAAAAAATAGGGCCTGCTCACAGGGGCCTTCCGGGCAATGTGGTATTCAACAGGAAGAGGTACCAAGGGCATCTGTCTCTTTATCAAACAGTTACGTGCATCATATTCAAGACAATAAATATCGTCAATTTTAAAAACCAGAATGGGGCTCTCTGATTACCCAGCAAAGGGCCTCGGTAACCTGAAACAGGCCCTTCTGATTCATAGAGAGGCCCCCTAATCCAGAACAGGATTCAAGAAGGATTCTGATTCAAGACGAGGTCCCCAAATCTAACTAAGGGGCCTCATTATCGCATAACAGGGCACCCTGATTCGGAATTGCGGCTATCTGATGCTTGGAAGGGGCCCCCTGTTCTAGAAATGAGCCTCCGGAATAAAGTGAGTGCTTCCGAACCCAGAACAAGCCTTCCTTTTTATAACGAAAGCCTTCGGAGTCAGCATATGTACCTTTTTAACACAGCATTGTGCCTTCTGATCTAGAGCATGGGTACCTTATTCATAGAGATGGCCTTATGATCCAGACACATGCCCCTTGATTCAGAAAAAGGATCCCCTGAACCCGAGCTATTACCCTCTAGCTCCGTTATGGTAGCCTTCTTGATCTGAATTTGGGTGATCTGGGTGTAGTTATGCTGCCTATAGTTAAGGAAAAAGGGGCCTCCCAATTTTGTGGTTGGGGGCAAGGGCACACCTTTGCCACATCTGCCTCCCACCTAGCTGCGCTGTCCTTATTTGCAGTTGGTAATATAAGTCAAAACGCGATGAAATGACACGCACTTTGCTTTCAGCGATATCACAGTCTGACAGTACAGTCGGTCATGGAAACAGGTGTTGTATGTCAGCGTTCTAGAAGGAGATTTGTCTCAGTGCTCCTTGCATTCTTGCATTCTCATCTTGCATTCTCATCTTGTATTCTCATCCTGTATCCCCGTTCGCTGGAGTAGTTTCCGATCCGAAA